GGGGGGTCGGAGGGGGGGAGGGGCGGGGGAAGCGAGGGGCAGACGTGGCATTGAGCGTGAGCTCATGTGACATTAGAATATCAGTCGATATGAGTACTCGTCAATATCGGTACTGATCCTTCAATTCAGATCTGTACGTACCAGCGAGGGTCTCGACCCTTAGCTTTAACATCCTCCGCAACACATGCTATATGGCCATTTGGTGACCATACGTAGATGAGATTATGGGTTGGCCCTTGGCTTTGCACCACCACACTTTTTTTTTTGGTTTAGAAGGGTTACAGTATTGCCCCCTCCAGCAGATGGCGCCCTTGGAAAATCCCCATGTTACCTATGCTGCTCTACATGGTTTTTCGCACATATTCGCCTCTCTTTTAGATCATCGCTCAATTTTTAGTCTTTTTCACTTCGCAACCCGACCACTAGCTTTTCGCGGACTTAACGAAAGAACCATAACGATGGTTACGATTGATATAAACATTATCGCGATGTGTTTAAAACTGCGTCGCTACTTCGATATATATTTTGTATTCAGTATTCAATGTTCAGAAGTAACTTTCTTCTTCTTCTCCCGTTTCACTTCCTGTGCTGCCCTCTGCTGACACACATTCATCCAACACCCATCACCAGAATGACAAAAAAAGAAAAAAATCTTTGCAACTTTGCATCACGCACGTCGTCTCACATCACTCTGAATCCTTCGACTGTGTTCACCGACACTGTCCGTCACTGTCGGCCTCCACTGCACCACAGCACATGCACCGATTACGATGGAAAGTGAAAAAGTTCAAATCTTTAGTCACGAAAATAATTTTTTTTTTTTTTAACATATCCTCAATTTAAATCCAAACCCTTCTCCAGCCGTGCTTACGTCGGACAATTCCTACTTTTTGGAATTCTCGACACATGGTCGCAAATCGAAACCACTTTCAGTGATAAACATCAGAAAACTTGACATCCGTCTGAGAACTTTTTGACTGACGAAAAACACCATATTAGGCACGAATGGACCTTTCAGTGTCCCCGTCCTCCCATTGGCCAATGAGACGAGGTGTTAACCCAGCTGGTCTGTGGTACCAGGTGTGAGGCGTTCCACTGGTACAGGTTCTCCGTCACATGAGCTCACGCCTTCACGCCGTTCCCCGCCGCTAGCTCGATGTTGGTGAACAATCGTTTACCAACGGAAAACAAACACAACAGCGATGACAGATAAAAGAGTGCACCTGAGTGTGTGCACGTGGGGTAACGACAAAGACATTCATCCCATTCGTTTTTTAAATCGCTGATTTCCTATCATTCTTCGTGTCGTGTTTTGGTTGTTGTCGGAGGTTTAGCGACAACTGCGTGTAAAAAATAGCTATTATTATTTGGTCGCTAATAAACCGCTAATGGATGCTAAATGTTTCCAGACTACTGATTGGACCGAGCACAATCACGTGACCTCATGCTCCATTTATGATGTCATGTGATATCTTTCTGTCAAGTTTGTTTGAATTTTTTTTCAGCGGTTCTCAATCTATGGTCCATGTAACACTGGTGGTACGTGGGCTCCCACTAGTGGTAACTTAAGGACATTTGATTCCAATTAAGATTAGGTGATTCACTTAGTTTTAAAATAGGGCTGTTATATATGTATATATGTATACATATATGTATACACGTATATACATATATATGTACATGTATACATGTACTTCCCGAGATGATCGGAAATGTAAATATTTTGAGAACCACTCGTTAAAGCTGCTGTCAGGAAACAAACAAAAAAGAAACAAAAACTAGAATTCTGGCAGTGCGGCTAATCCTGAGCGGCTAGGCCTTAGCTAGCTGCTAGCGGGAGAGAAATCAATCACTGCAGACCATCTGTGACTGACAGCAGCTTTAACTCACGTCGCGTGACGTTACGATAACTGACGCCTGAACATCACGTGATCCGTTTGCGATTGACAGCTGTTGTCGGAACAGTCCGAACGCTGTCTGTGGCAGAGCGACGTCTGTAGAAAATGATATTTTTGCGGTTCATCGTCGGTGACTTCGGAGGGTTCCGAACTGGTTCCTGATTTTCCCTGAATAAAAAACCTCCGATGTCAGAAAGTGAAGCTCAAACCCCCGGAGAACGGATGTCGGCAAAACCGTCGTATTTGCCGCGGCCTGATGCACGCACTGACGGTGACGATGAGGATGAAGGTGATGTCTGTGATTTTCGTAATACTGTTCAGAGTCTGTGGTTTCAACTTTCTGTCAGGGACCATTGGGGGGCGTGGCGGGGGAGTCCGTGGATTCAGAAGAGACAGACCTTCCTCTTCAGGTCATTCCTCTTCCAGAGGGAGAGGCCGTCGAACTCCTCCATGGACATCCCGAAAAGGCTGAAGAACTCCTCCTGAGACAGGTATCTCTGCAGGGCCGTCCACAGAGACAGACAGACGGGAGGGACGAGTCAGACTGGTCACACCAACAATCTAGTCTCAAATAATCTAATCTAAAATAATCTAATCTAATCTAATCTAATCTAATCTAATCTAATCTAATCTAATCTAATCTAATCTAATCTAATCTAATCTAATCTAATCTAATCTAATCTAATCTAATCTAATCTAATCTAATCTAATCTAATCTAATCTAATCTAATCTAATCTAATCTAATCTAATCTAATCCAGTCAGGTCTATTTCAGTCTAATTATATCTAGTCTAGTCCAATCTAATCTAATCCAAACTAATCTAGTCTAGTCTTTGACCTTTGACCGAGTCATTGACCTTTGTTTAAATGTGTCCAATGATTATGTTGAAATCTTGTTCCTGTCACTTTTCTACGATTAAAGACATTTTATATAAAAATTAAAACCGTTTTTCTCCAGGATGTGAACTGAGAAGAATAAAAAGTTCCCGGTACTTTCCGTCCGACTGATGTCACATGACCCTGCTGCTGTGACCTGAAGGTCATCGGAACAAATGAAAAAAAAAAAATGTTCGAATGACTACCTACCTCCAGTTGGGTTCTGTCAACACCAGGGGGCAGATGACTGCGCCCTGTGTGGGTCACCACAAGCGTCTCGTAGGGATAAATCTGCGAACACACAAGCACAGAGTACAGCAAATATAAACAAATATAAAACAAACATAAACTTTGGAACCTCGTTACCTTGTGGTCCAACATACTGGGCAGAGAGTTTCCTCTGTCGATGAGTTTCCCCTGTCAATCCTGGAGGCGCAGTTCTTCAACGACAACAACGACAACAACAACAACAACAGGTCAACGACAACAACAGGTCAACGACAGTGACAGGAAGTGACTGTCAGTACCAGAACTACAAGGTGAAACGGTTCCACAGGAAACTGTTAAAAGACTGTACCTGGAGACCTGCAGGGAGAGAGAGAGAGAGAGAGAGAGACCTTAAAAAGAAGGTGACACCAGTTCATAAAAAAGTGTTACAATGATACTAATAATAATAGAC